CCCTACCATGGTCCCTGGGGAAAGTGAAAAGGAAGAGCCTCACACTTCTCACATTATATCAAAAGCTAGAGATGATGAAGCTTAGCGAAGAGGGCAAGTTAAAAGCCGAGATGGACCAAAAGCTAGGACTTTTGCACCAAGCCATTAGCCAAACTGTGAATGCAAAGGAAAAGCTCTTGAAGGAAATTAAAAGTACTACTGCAGCACACACAAATGATAAGAAAGTGAAAGCAGCCTTACTGCAGACATGGAGAAAGTTTCAGTGGCCTGGACAGAAAGATCAAACCAAGCACAACATTCCCTTAAGCCAAAGCCTAATCAAGAGCAAAGCTTTAACTCTTCAATTCTAAGAAGTCTGGAAGAGGTGAGGAAGTTGCAGAAGAAAACTTTGAAACTATGAGGTTTAAGGAAAGAAGCTAGAACGTAGAAGTGTAAGGTGAAGAAGCATCAAGTGCTGATGTAGAAGCTACAGCAAGTTATCCAGAAGATCTAAACAAGGTAATTGCTGAATTTGGCTACACTAACAAACAGATTTTCAGTGTAGATGGAACAGTCTTATACTGAAAGAAGATGCCACTAGGTATTTTGCAGCTAGAGAGGACAGTCAGTGCCTGGCTTTAAAGGACAGACTGGCTCTTGTTGGAGACTAATGCAGCTGGTGACTTTAACTTAAAGCCAATGCTTATGCACCATTCTGAAAATCTTAGGGCCCTTAAGAATTATGCTAAATCTACTCTGTTTGTGCTCTATAGATGGAACACGTACTAGGTGACAGCACATCTGTTTACAACATGGTTTACTGAATATTTTAAGCCTGTGGTTGAGACCTACTGCTCAGAAAAAAAAAAAGATTCCTTTCAAAATATTACTGCTCAGTGACAATGCACCTGGCACCCAAAAGCTCTCATGGGGACACACAATGAGATAAATGTTGTTTTCATGAAGTTATTTTGCCTTTCAGGTCTTACTAAGAAATAGATTTCATAAGGCTATAGCTGCTATAGACAGTGATTGCTCTGATGGATCTGGGCAAAGAAAATTGAAAACTTTCTGGAAAGGATTCATTGTTCTAGATGTCATTAACAACATTTGTGATTCATACAAGGAGGTCAAAATATCAACATTAACAGGAGTTTGGAAGAAGTTGATTCCAGTCCTCATGGATGACTTTGAGGAGGTCAAGATGCCAGTGGAGGAAGTAACTGCACATGTGAAAATAGCAAGACAACTGGAATTAGAAGTGGAACCTGAAGGTGTGACTAAAGGTAAGACTTTAACAGACAAGGAGTTACATCTGGTGGATGAGCAAGGAAAGTGGTTTCTTGAGAAGGAATCTACTCCTGGTGAAGATGCTGTGAACACTGTTGAAATGACACCAAAGGATTTATAACATTACATAAGCATGGCTGATGAAGCAGCGCAGGCTTTGAGAGGATTGACTCCCATCTTGAAAGAAGTTTTTCTGTGGTTGAATTGCTATCAACCAGCATCACATGTTGCAGAGAAGAAGTCCTTCATGAAAGGGAGAGTCAATCAATGTAGCAAACTTCACTGCTGTTTTATTTTAAGAAATTACCACAGCCATTACAGGCTTCATCCTTCATCACTCTCATCAGTCTGCAGCTATCAACACTGAGGCTGTATTTTTTAATTAAGGTATGTACATTGTTTTTTAGACATAACACTGTCGCACATTTTAATAAACTACAATATAGTGTAAACATAACTTGTATATGCACTGGGAAAATAAACAAACCCAAACATGACTCACTTTATTGCAATATTTGCTTTATTAATGTGGTCTGAGACTAAACGTGCAATATTTCTGAGGTAGCCTCTGTCAGAAAAAAGCCCTGCCCCATGCTGTAGCATCCATACCTCGTGGGTTTTGTATCTTACCATACTTTGCACTGTTCAGTACAGGGAAACTGTGGGAACAGCATTGCCACAATCTGTAAGAATGGAGGGTTGTTGAGGTGCATCCTCATTTGTGCATCACTAGCTAGTGTAGAAAATCCATAGTTTCACATTTTAATATTCTGAAAGTAAAGCTTGCTGAATAGGCTTCTGGACTTCCATGTTCTTTGCCACTCTGCCATAGTCTGTCAACCTCCCATCCTTCTATAAATTCACCCACTTGTGGGGTCAGTGAAAACATTTAGCTTAAAAAAAGAAAAAAAAAAGTAAACACTTTAAGTTGCATGATTTTGTTCAGCTGGTTACTACAAACTGTTGAAAAATCCTTCTGTCATTTGGAAACCCCATTCTTAGGAGCATCTCCATGGTCAGAATCAGTCATTCTAAGACACTGCTACCGGAAGAGGTGATTTCCCCTGTGCTCTGCCTCTCAGGGCACTTTTTTATCTCTCTCTGTGTCAGCACAAGCTGTTCTACAGTTCAAAGTTAAGTTAGATCACTCTGCTGATATAACTCAATATTAACTTTTTTTTTGAGTTTTATTTTCGTCTCTTTCGAAAGCAATGTAAGAGGAAGATCTCATATCATGCTAACATGACCTAATTGGAGGTTGCCACTAAAAGGAGCAGTTCTGTTCTTCACAACCATGCCCATACATACATTTCTGCAGCTTCCCTTGAGCTGGATCTAACCATCACGCAATTTAATGTAGGCTCACCAAGAAGTATTTTTTCATCAGATCGGTGAATTTAGGATTATCTCCTTCAGTAACAGCTGGCACTCAGAGCAGGCACCAAATTGTATCTCTATTGTGTGGTTATACAACACAGCTGAACCACACTAATTGACCAAAAATGGACTGTACTGCCCCAGCTTCTACCTTTACTCCCTTACAAAGAGGTCAAAGAAGAAGAGGAGCAGCACCAATTTCAGCTCAACTTTATCCTCCAGCACTCCAGGAGTATTTCCAATACCATGCTGGTTTATTTTGCTGAATTTTGGCCCTAGTTTGTGCAGAAGGTGCACTTAGATGTGTGCAGTTCTGGGGTCCCCAGGATAAGAGGGACATGGAGCTTCTAGTGAGACTCCATCCCAGAGTGACAACGATGATTAAGGGACTGGAGCATCTATCTTATGAGAAAAGACTAAGCRAGCTGGGCCTGCTTAGCCTAGAGAAAATTGGGAGCTGCTTTGATCAATATGCATAAGTACCTGAGGGGAAAACATTGGGAGGACAGGGCCAAACTGTTCTTGGGGCCAGTGACAGGACAAGGGGCAATGGGTACAAGCTGAAACACAGGAAGAGGAACTGCTTTCCTGTGAGGGTGTCAGAGCCCTGGCACAGGCTGCCCAGAGAGGCTGTGGAGTCTCCTTCTCTGGAGATCTTCCAAACCCACCTGGATGCCGCCCTGTGCCCCGTGCTCTGGTTGTCCCTGCCGGAGCAGGGGGTTGGACTAGCTGATCTCTAGAGGTCCCTTCCAACCTTAAACATTCTGTGATTCTGTGATTCCTTCTTCAAAAATTATGTAGGAGTCTAGACTCAACTTCTAGATTCTAAATCTAGAGTTAGCTTCTCAAAAGTAGAGGAGAAATATATTTCTTTCTTGGCAGAATTTAAGATTCAGGATTTTCTCTCATCAAACATTTCTTCTGAAAATACCCAAGTGTACAGGACATGGAATCAGGGACGGATAACCGGGAAGATAACACAGCAATGTCCAAGTATGCAGGGATGAAGGCTAGCAAGACCGAGGCCCATCTCGAGATTTATATGGCAAGGGAGGTCAAGGACAACAAGTAGTTGTCATTTACATAAATCAGTATCAAAAGCAAGATGAGTAGAGGTGTGGCCTTGCTGCTGCATGGGGCAAGGGCCCTGCTGACAAAGCATACGGGAAAGGCAGTGGGAATCATGAGAGCTGCCTGAGGACATGAAGAAGGCCGATGTCCCTCAAGTCCTCCAAAAAGGCAAGGAGGAGCATCCAGTGAACTACAGGTCAGTCAGCCTGAGCTCTGTCCCTCAAAAGGCGAAGGAGCAGCTCACCCTGCATATACCACTTCCAATGCATTCCCCAAGGACAAAGCCGGCTTAACCAAGCCGATTCCCTTCTCTAGTGGCATGCCTGCCTGGCTAGATGAGGGGAGCGCAGCGCATGTTGTTTACTTCAGCTTTGGAAAGGTTTTTGACACTGTCTCTTCAGGAAGCTGGGGAGCTGCAGGTTGGAGAAATGGGCACAAGAGGATAGAGGAGGCAGCTGAGAACTGGCCAATTGGCCGAGCTCAGAGGGTTTTGCTTAGTGAAACAACTGGAGGCTTGTAGATATTCCTTGGGGGTCAATCCTGCATCCACTACTGATCAACTTCTTCATCAGGGACCTAAACAAAGGAACACGGTGCCTGCTCAGCAACTTGGCTGATGATACAAGACCAGAGGGGTGGCTGAAACATCAGAGGTCTGTGCTGTCATTCTCAGGGACCGTGACAGGCTGAGTCCTTCACCCAGGCAGAAATGAGCCCTGTACCAGCACAGGCTGGAGACTCTGCTGCTGCAGAGCAGCCCTGAAGAGAAGAACCTGGGAGTTCTGGTGGCCAACAAGTGGATCATGAACTAGCAATGTGCCCTTGTGGCCCAGAAGGCCAACAGTAATGTGGGCTGCATGAGGGAGAGCTGTCTCCTTTTAGGAAGCTGAGGAACTGCAGGATGGAGAAGTGGGCACAAAAGGATAGAGGAGGCAGCTGAGAAGTGGCCAATTGGCCAAGCTCGGAGGGTTGTGACCAGTGACATAACTGGAGGCTTGCAGATGTGTTCCTCGAGGGTCAATCCTGGATCCACTATTGCTCAACTTCATCCATGACCTGGATGAAGGTACACAGTGTCTGTTCAGCAGCTTTGTGCAGTTGATGCCCCTCGTTCCAGTGCGGGCCAGAGAGCTGAGGACGCGGCCCGGCTGCCCCGCAGCGACTCCKGTGAGCAGCTGCCAGAGCCCAGCCACRGAGGGCTCCTCTGTGGCCCTWTGCCCTCCTCTCCACCTCCCTGGAGYGCCCTGGTCCTTCCCGACCTGAGCTGTCTCTGCCATCCTCACCGCACGTCCTTCTGCTGGGAGCACCGGCCAGAGCAGGCAGTGCAGGCACAGCCAGAGCCGGACACCACCTGCATCATCTGCCCGGAGCTGGTGGAGGAGCAAATATCAYACACCACCACGGTGTGCCCAGCGTGCAAAGGCGCCTGGTTCCACCGCGCCTGCATCCGGGTAGGAGRCCCTGCCCTCGCCCCATTTGCCCTGTTGGTGCCCAGCAGCGGCCTCCTGCTCACCCTGCTTGTGTCTGTCCTGCAGGGACAGGCAGTGAGTGCTGGCAGATCCTGCTTCTGCTGCCCCCACTGCAATAACAAGAGAAAGTTTGTCCTTGAAATGCTCAGAATGGGCATCTTCATCCCACTCAGGCAGGCTGCTGCTGCGCGGCTGCAGAGCTCATGAGACACAAGAGCCCGAGAGCTGTGCACGGCCAAGGGCTCRCGAGGCTCTGCTGGCCCCCATGGCTGCTGCACGCCTGCTCCCTGGCTTCCCATGGGCTCCCAAGTGGGACGCAGAGACAGGAGGAGAGCAGGGAGGTGCTGCATCTGCCTGCAGTGCCATGCACGAGGGCCTCAGGATGTTCCCTCTCTCCTCCCGCAGGACACAGGCCTGGGAGGAGGAAGGGGCCTGCGAGGATTTAAACGAGAGGCACAGCCGGTGCGACGCCAGCCGGTGCCTTTCCAGGCAAGGCAGGCATCAGGCGGAGGAAGGCGGCTACGTCGCTGTTGGGAAATTCTTGCAAGTTAATGGACATTTGAACGGGATGTACCTGAGATCATGCAGATCATATTGTTTGTGAAGTCCTTTATAGAGCTCTCATCGTCACGTCCCCAACGCAACAACGTCACCACTGCCTGTGTGGCAGCGGATGCTGTAGGATGCAGAACCTCTCTGCAGGCCCTGCCAGGAGGGAGAGGGACCTCACCTCTTGTGGGGCTGGGCACAGGGAAAGGGACATACCTTTGGCACAGGGATGCAGAGCTGCGCGGGCAGGAGGGATGCCCCTGMTCGTKCTGACCAAGAGGTCTCTCAAACAGTGGAGGGTGCTGCTGGGTACAGCTGGGGCTCTTGGCCTCACTCAGGGCTCTGGGAGGGCAGGGGCACGCAGGGCACTTACTTAGCACAAGATCTCGCCCAGGCACTGCCCAGGCCCGCTGCCTTTGCCCATGGCTGCCTTCCTGGCACAAGTGTCAGCGCCAGCACCACCTTTGCTTCCACAGGCCCTGGGAGCTGCTGTTGTGCTCCTCATGTGCCTCCAAAGGAACCCATCAGCGCTGCTCGGCCTTGGTCACTGCCATTGACACCTGGGAGTGTGACGAGTGTGCTGGCCTGGGTCCCGGTGAGAGGCCAAGCGCACAGGTCCCCGCACRCTCAGGCCAGGCTGCAGGCAAGGCCTGGCCACAGGTGCTCCACAAGGGACTGGCAGAGCGTCCCTGCCCCTGCGAGGGCTGGGAACGCTGCGGCAGCCTCTCTGGCTGCGGGGCCTTGGGGCTGTGGTGCTCACCTTGCTCTTGCCCTTGCAGCCCCCAGCGCTCAGTCAGAGCTGGTCGGCACCAGCGCCAGGTCCAGAACCAGCACCTCTGCTGGCACCAGCACCACCACTGGCACCACTGCTGACATCAGCACTGCTGCCAGCACCGGCACCAGCGCCAGTGCCAGCACCACTGCTGTATCTGACACCACTGCCAGCATCAGCACCACTGCCAGCACCAGCASCACCAGCAGGACACAACAGGAGTTGGGCTCGTCCTCCTGCTCCCTGGAAGGCTGCGCTGGAGAGTCAGCTGATACCAGTAGCAGCAGTCAGCCAGAGTCAACATCATCCTCTGACTCCGAGTCGCTCAGGCCGCACAGGGCCAGACAGACAGCCAGGACACTTGAGGCTCTCACGATGGTTACAACATCCTTA